CCGTAGGGAAGCTCTCTTCCCATCGAGACGAAAAGCTTCTAAAACTTAATGAATGTTTGACAGAGGAATTGTACTCGCGTTCGTTAACGAATCATTCCGTCTATTCAACGTTCCATTAAACTCGGTAGAAAAAGAAAGAGAGAAGAAGAGAGAAAGAGAAAGAGAGAGAGAGAGAGAGAGAGAAGCCATATATATATTTTTTTAAATTTTTATTAATTGAATTCACTCGCGCGCGAGGAACGCTTGAAAGAGTATCCTCTTAAGAAAGTTCGATACTAAATAACGTTCAGCTTGTGTACCGCCAAATTTTACTACCGCGCAGCCAGCAGAAACCTTAACGTAACTTTAATTAAGGAGATATTCGGAATGTCGAAAGCAAATTATTAGTTGCGGCGGCGTTAAAGACGAAAAGGATGCCGAGTAGAGTTCTCTTGTATCCGCGAGAGAGGCGATTCAATTTTTCACAATCATCGTAAACAGGACCCGAGGGACGTAACAGCTACCGAAATGGTCGCCCCGGCTGGCGAGCCGGGGCCCATCGAAAGATCCCAGGGCCCGATGGTATCCCCAAGGGAAAGCACAGGAATCAAATCTAAATGAAAGATCTGCGGGAGGGGGAAGAAGAGGAGGGAGAGAGGGAGCGGGGCAAAGGGAAATAAAATCTCTTTCGGCGTTCCACGGACACATCATAAGCAGCGGTGGCGAAGAAATAGTGGGAGGCAAGGGGGTTAAAGGGAAGAGAGAAGAGGGGGGAGGGGGAAGAGTAGGACTATCTCTCTCCCGGATCTCAATCTAAAGACTCCAAACATATTTTCTCGAGTTTAGCGTCGGGCCCGGCTCTTCCATTGGCCGTCGTGGAATCTCCGTCTCGAGCCGTAATCTTCCTTCTTTCCCTCTCGTCCCTTTCTCCCGTCTTTCTCTCTCTCTCTCTCTCTCTCACGCGCATACACACACATACACATTCTCTTTCTCTCCCCTCTAGTCCTCTTCTCGATTTCTTCTACCTGTTCGCCGCGTTCCCCGAGATCAAAGCACGCCGACGCCAGCAGCCCGGTCCGTGGGGTGTCATCCGAGATGAAGGGTGGGAACCGGCGGTTGCAGGAAAGGTCAGGGGGGAAGAAAAGGCGAGATGGGGCAGGAAAGGTGGCCATACAATATTCATTAACGTTAAGGTAAGGTCGCTGGGGGTACTTTTCTCGGAGGATGAATCAAGAATTGAGTATCGTCTGATGTGTACCGGTATAAATTATAGCGTTCCTGTGTGTGTGTATGTGAGATCGATCGAGGCCCCCGTTGCCCGACCGCATAATGACTTTACGTAAAAGAGGTAAAAGTGCTTCGGGAAATGAGACCGATTCTCGCACGAAGTCTAATACATAAAAGCAAACGATGAATTGCATGTGTGTGCGTATGTGTGAATGACTTTACATAAAATTATCGTGTGATATGATAATGTTTAAAAAAATATTTCTTGTATACATATCACAGATCTCTGTTTCGTGCCGCAACGACGACTAAGATTGTGAGCGACACACCATAAAATTTATAAAACGCATACGAAATGAACGATGCGATACGATCGCTTAGGACGGACACACAACGCTAAAATTATTTTCCAAGTTAAGATCGCGCGGGACGAATAGCGTTCGTGTTTCTCAGTCGATCTTACATTTTTTTCAACGGTTATCGATTGTCCGGCATCAGCTTTGTCGTCAGGGAAGATTATACGACCCCATCCTTCATTCTTTATCTTGTCACGCGAATTATCCAATTATTTATATATTAATTTAACGATAATTTCTTTGAAAAGTTTATTTCAAAAAATTATTCTATATATTTTCATATCTTTCGTATATTATTCAATCGGATTATCTTTTATAAAATATTGCAGCGTGTTAAGTGATAAAAGAATATTTCTGTATGATGAAGCAGCAATAAAAATTAATGCGATATCGCGTGAATACACGATATTAAGCTGTTATATTAAAGTAATGGATGGGCATCATTAAATTCGTGTTTATTCGTTTATCAAGCAGTTCACGTAAGAAGACCCCCTCAACAATGTTATCGAGAAGTCAATACCGATAAGTATTGACTTATCAGAATGCACGTTCTCTCACGTATCTTCACACTTTTAAGAATTCATTCTTTTCATTTTTTTTCTCTTTTTTTTTTTTTTGAAGAAAAAAAGGATGCTAAATAATTCGCTTGCATTATAAACGATATATTATAACACATTTAATTTAACGAAAAATACTAGTAATTAAATATTTAGCTTTCTTATAATCTTTTCTTTAATCATGTTATGCTAAAATACGATCGTTTTGCGGCGACATTGAAAACCGTTCACGTGGATAGCAACAGGTAGATCTTTATACCGATAAAAGTCTGAACTTGTTTACTTGAAACCGCCAGACACGCGGATTCCAAGTCGCGACGAGATTAGATTGCCGTTCAATTAACACCCCAACGTCGCTGAAGCGTCGCTATTATACGATATATCATTCGCGATATTTTCAGATAACTTACGAAGGAAGAGGCCTCTTATGAGAAATCTTTCTCTTGAATTATATATAATAATTTATTAAGAAAAATGAACAGATAAAAATAAGAGAAAATACGGTCATTAAGATAATTATTGTTCCGCCGTATTATCGTCGCGTTATAAATCAGACGATCGATGGCCGAACAAAGCTACGGCATAAGGGAGATTTCTCACGGATCATCGGATCCATCTTTCCTTTGTGATCGAAGAAAGTGGACGGATTTTCCCCCCGGTTTTTGTTCGCGAAGCGTCAGCCGCGATCGTTTTCCACGGGATGGAAAACGGAACCAGGCTCGCGCGTCTGACTTTTCATCCGTGGAGAATAGACCATTATCTCTCGTATACGTGGTGTGCATTTACGACATCTGTTATGTCTACGAGAAACGTATTTTCCATTTCTCTGGTGGAACTAAGTGGTCTTTATAAATCTTGCTTTTGGCGTTACGATTTACAGCGGGGAATTAAATACCTCAATTAATGACGTCATTAATAACATTGTGCACGGCCTCGTGTATTACGCGGCAAATAAACGAAATGGCAACAAGAATTAAACGTTCCGCCTTGTCTAAATATAGATATAGAACCTCATCCATTGTGCAAATTAATAGAGGCATAAACACTCAAATAAATAAATTTTTTTTTTAATCGAAGATTTGAATAGCACTCGGGGATTTTACTTATGCTGTGGATAATGATTTCAACATACCACTAAGAATAAAAATAATGTCCTCTTGACTTTTGCTTCAGTGACTATTACAATATGTGGCTTCAAAAGATATAGTGTCGGCCAAAGTCATTTACGATTAGCGTATCAACTCCAAATATTTAGATAAGGTCTGAAAAATTGAGCCATGTTTAGACGAAAGTTTGGCCACCTATCGCGTTTACAAGATTACTCAGTGAATACAAGTGTTGTCGCGACAAATGATTCGTGACAAATTGAATTATATAATATGGAATTTTTTCTCCTCCGTATGACGCGATATTTCGCACCGTGAAACATGGCGGATTAATGATAGCGTGTCAATCTCCCTTTTTTTTTGTATCGTGAATCTACGTCAAGAATAACGCATGATCGAGAGTACCGCAGGTTGGAGTGACGCGATATTTCGCACCGTGAAACATCGCGGATTAATGATAGCGTGTCAATCTCCCTTTTTTTTTTTGTATCGTGAATCTACGTCAAGAATAACGCATGATCGAGAGTACCGCAGGTTGGATATATCTATCAGACGGCATCTCGTGTTGCCTAACAATCCCGCTGATCTCTGAAGTCACGTCATACATTCGAACGAGATCATCGTGATCATCGCGTCGGCGCGCGCTCGTCCAATTATGAAACTCGCGCCTTCACGGTCACATGTTGTTCTTTATCTGCCCCGATATCTTCCCATCGATCGTCGATCGATCGATGCTTTTTTTTTAATCATCATTCCTTTTAAGCGCCGCGCGCGCGGTCGTAAATCGTCTCCTCTCGTCTGTCGCGTCCTCTTATCAATTGCGTCATCGCGCCAGGAACGTGTTCGAAACCACGTGACAGTGACCTTCGCACGGATCGTCTTTCGAAACGGCGATAGGCTGGTCACTTCCTGATGACGAAGATCCCCTCCCACGGATCAGCCGTGGAAGCGGGCGATTGTCGTCCAGGGACGCTGTCGTCATTTTTCGCGAGAGAGCGCGTGATTTTGCCTCCGAAAAGAAATTATCCAGTCGGTTTTGTTGATTCAGTTTGCAGCCCACCAATTCACACCGATGTGCTAATACGCTAGATAACACGCCGCCAGATGTGAGAGAGAAAGAGAGAGAGAGATACGCGCAGACTTTGTTCCCACCCGCGCATCTTGCTGATCAGCAGCGGACCATGTGGGACGAAATCAATGAATTGGGGAGGTCGTGATTACACCGCGGGAGGTGGCCGAGCGATCTGATATCCTCTTCTTCGTCTCTAAATCGTCTATCCTTCTCTTTCTTGTAGGTCAGCAGGGGTCAATCTTCATTTCGTCAACAGAATGTCTGCTGAATTAATCACAATTTTTCGCTTGTATAAAATTTCCATTTTGGTTTCAATGAAGTTCGTTTCTATACATATGCGTAATTCGTTCTTATCATTCTGCTGTTTATTTTTCCTAGAACATTCAAATATTATTTTTAACGATGATCTGAATCAGAGTCATCGCTATTAAATCAAAGCTATTTTAATAATGCTAAAATAATTTCTAAAACGGGATAATTTTTTGTAAAACGTGTATGTGTATTCTTTAGGCTATTTCATAATTATTTGCTATTCGATTAATCGTCGGCTTGATATTAACTCTTGTTTGCTAAGACGACTGTATCGAGAAGGCCACCGACAAACTGTTATCACTTCTCTCTTCTTTGTATTAGTGATACTCATGGAGGGGCGTAATAAAGATGATTGCGCGGCTATATATAAGCCTGCGCATCCGTCATCGCCATCAGTTCGATATTCCTCATGTTTCGTTTTGTTAGTAGCGTTCTTACGATATTTCAAGCAGACTCTTATCTTGAGCGTTCGAGCAAAGATTGTCGAAGAAAAAGTGTGATAAATAAACGACTCTATTGATACGTAACTCTTTCAACGTATTATAAAGAGGGCGATCGAGCCAACTACAACTCAATCGGCAAAAGTTCATCGAGCTTCATCCTCGAGCTCTGACCGCTGTTGTTTTTCATTCTTCTTCGTCTGCGACGCATCATCTTCGCTGTCCCCGACGAGTAAACAACGAGCGATCGGAAAAAATGGGATACTCTTAGCATCGATCAAATCGTTTGTCGTTCGCTGAATAAACGCGCATCTCCAGTCGGTTCTTTTCAGCTACTGTCAGCGTTATTAAATTAATCCGTCAAAATAACACGCGCGAGGACTATCTACGGAAGTGTGACGGCAGTGTTTCATGATTCATTTACTACGGTGGTACAGCCCAGTTATGTTCTCGATCAAGTACAGCAAGCAATTTCTGAGCTATCGTATACTCAAGTCCAACCGGTTCAAATATATCTGACGATACGGACTCGGACTAGATAAAGGGTGCGCGCAAGGTGGTGTGTGTGTATCTTATCGCGGACGGTTTGTCGTACCTACGGTGCTCAGAAAGGCAGAGAGGATTGTGTCCCAGCAAGACCTGGAAAGTCTTGTATCCAAGTCCAATGGCCGGATCGCTTTTTACAGCGATGCGAGCTTGAGGAAGTACGCCGACGACAACGGCGACGACGACGTGACAGACTCAGTGCCATCGAAAATCGCTAGTGAGGCGAATCTTTCGAGGGCAAAGGGTGATAGGAGCTTGAAAGAAAAAAAAAAATTATTGCAAAAGAAATTGAATTGGTAACGACGTACGATTTCATTACCGAGGAGAGAGATTTTTATCAGGAACAGAGTATTAAAATTTGGAATACAAACGTATGCAAAGAAAGCATAAAAGCAAAAAAAAAGATCCAATTGATAGCAAATCATTTTGTCGATAAAAAATTTTGAGGAAGATAATTAAAATTCGCAATCAAGATTAAAATTTTGCCAAACCGGCTTATAAGAAAGTGGCTATAGTAGCTAACGATTTGTTAAAATAATTTTCAAACAGATAAGTCAATAAAGATATCGAGAGAATAGTCATTAACGGTGTACATTGTGAGTACACGAGAAATTGCAGAGGCTCTAGAATTTATCTAGAAAGAATTTACCTAGAGTAACGACATTGCTCGATGCGCTTATATATCAGCTGAAAGATCATTAGAGCGGCAGGATAAGCAGAGTAAGCGGAAAGCGAGATCACTCGGAAATTCCTTCGAGAGGCACAGACACTGTAATTTTTCACGGCAGTTACATACACATATACTTTCTTAAGTAAATACACATGCATAATCGAGCCTACATAAAACGCGAATTAAAGGGAATCACTAATTAAAGCAACGATCGAGCGAAATCTGCACGTCTTTGGCGAATCGGAATAAAATCGCGGAAAGAAGTAAAAAAAAAGATGATTAAAAAAATGATCGTTTACGTCCCGGGCAGAATGCCAACTCACGTTGGTCCCTACGGCGCCGCTCGTTACCCGGGCACCCTGCTAGGAACTGCCCCGGGTTTTTACAGCTCGGTTTCCGGCTACACCACCGACCCGGGTCCGAGCTATTACGGGAGCCTCAACGTCCAGCATCAACCAGCGCCGCTGGATCTTCCGATTTGGCCGCGAAGAATGCCGGCCGAGGAGGAACTGGGGGCCTCGCCGGCCGTTGGGGTGTCCCCGGGCACCCTTGGCAACGGCGGTCCCCCGAGCCCGGCGCATAGCGACTCGGACGCGTCCAGCTCGAGCTTGGAACTCGGTACCATCAGAACCGGCGAGAACGCCCAATTAAAGTGCAGGTAAGAAAAAGAAAGAGGAAAGAAAAGATGAAATTTTTGTCACACTTGTTTCGGTAGATTCATTAGAATTATGTGTCAAAAATTGCTGGATTAATTCGAACATATTTTTTTACAAGTATATATAATTTCATATATATTATTATATATATAAAAATTATCATTATACAATAAATATATAATCTAAAGAAATCTTATATTGCGCATTATAAATAGCAACTAATGTGCGTCTTGTCTTTGTTATCACGGAATTATCGCATAGATTTATAGAGGCAATCAAATGCGTCGTTCTTGATTTGCACTATGTTGTCGCAGACGTTCGTCGTTCTCTTCTCATTAGACTACGCTAATCTGTCTCGTGTCAATGTAGATGCGCGTATCTCTATGCGCATCGCGCGTGCATACCGGTTACATCTAGTTTTCTTGACTGATAGTCGGAAGTTTCTCTATTCGTCATATGCCAAGAAAATTCTGAAGTACGTCTCGACGAGTACCCCTTTTATTATACAATGTTTTATTGCGAGATTAAGAGCTTTCGCAGAATTCAAATTCCTTTGCAATTTACTCTCGCAAGAGGAGAATGTGTATTTCTAATGATAAACAAGTTTACAACCGGCTTGGTTTATAATGTTTATATCTAAAGTCTATGCGTCCTCAATCAAATTTACACTCGATATAAGGCCGGGCGATAGCGATTTCCAATAATAAACGAAAAAAGGAAATTATGCTGATAACGCAAAGACAAATCACTAAATGGTTATAAATATTTTTTATTACAACTTCGACTTTTTATCCGTCGAATGATATGTATGTGAACGATTATCAAGTTCCAGCTCTCTATTGGCTTGATGTTACTCTATCAATAAAAAATAATTTATTATTACAGTTTCTCAGAGAACTCGCACGCGAAAGCCGTAGCTTATCACAGAGCACATCACACTATAAATTTCATTCGTTAAAATTACTGTTTTTTAATTATGTTTTAATTATATTATATTTCACTCGCAGTTGATTCTCAAAGATATTTATTTCTATAAATTATGTATATTATATTTATTTTCTTAGATAAGATTTATGTCGACCATATTTTTCGTACATCATACTTATTATTATTATACATATATTAATATATGGCACACATTATTTTGAAATCATATTAGATAAAACGCGAAGTTAATTTATAACAATCTTAATAATTTATATAATATGTAAAACATATATTGTAGTTGCTTGCAAGTAAAAAAAAAAAAATTAAAGACAAGAGCCGCTCCGGCCAATCAAATCTCTCTCGAAATTGCCTTGATCCACGACCTCCCGTGGACAATATCCGTGCCACTTAATTGGCGGAATTCGTTGTCGTTGACTGGAATAGTACCGAACATCGTGGTCTCCGTTACAATAAACTGATGTCAAACGGCGGCAATTGCAAAATGGCCGCAATTGGTATCAATTTGTCGAGTCAGCGAACATATTCATGACGCAAATGATATTTCGATATTTCAGCACATCAAAAGGCTGCATTCATTGCATCACACTTTCGATTAGTCATGATTTGCGATTTCGCAAAGATAAATTGGCAATTAAAAAAAATTGTACGTTAAAAGGACAGAGCTATAATATTTCTCTTTTTTCTTTTTTTTCAGATGGCATGATTGTGGCCGATGGTTCACATCCCTGGAACAACTTGCAGGACATGTTGCAAGGTTGCACGCTGCACCTGGTCCGCGGGGTCTCTTTTACTGTGGGTGGGAAGGATGCGCGAGAGGCGAGCGTGGGTTTAATGCAAGGTAAGATTCCTTCAAATATATTAATGCGCACATGTGAGAAAAATCGCTTTTGCATTCTTGATGAACACTCATATCTGCCTTTTGTAGGTACAAGATGCTGGTCCACGTACGCACACACACGAACGAGAAGCCGCACCATTGCTTCCAGTGCGACAAGAGCTTCAGCAGAGCGGAGAACCTGAAGATCCACGCGCGTTCTCATACCGGCGAACGTCCCTACGTCTGCCCCGTTGAGGGTTGCAACAAGGCTTATTCGAACTCCTCGGATAGGTTTAAACACACCAGAACCCATGCTGTAGACAAGCCGTACTGCTGTAAAGTGCCAGGCTGCTCCAAGAGGTACACCGATCCGTCGTCTTTAAGAAAACATGTCAAAACTTATCGCCATTACGTAAACAACAACGATAAGGTTCAAGAGAAGAGTTTCGACGACAGCAACGTCCAGGAGAAAACCAGGTTCGACCTGACCTCGCCCGATAAACAGAGTAGCAGTACGTATTCCGAGTCGGACAAGAAGAATTCGAGCATCGAGAGCAGCATATCGGGTTCCAGTCCCAAGGCTAGCAACAGCTTTGAAGAACAGAAGAGTTTCGTCGAGTGGAACAACATATATAATCTCCAGGAGCAGCGGAAAGAACAGGAACAGATGACTCCACCAAAGCCATACGAGCAGGACGTGAAGATCTATCCAAAGATGTACGATGACAGTTACATTATACCAGATAGAATCCAAGTCAATCCCATGTATGCTTCTGGTAGCACCATCATCAAAGATTGCCCTGCGGTGTCGTCGCCTCACACAAGTCCCGGCCGAGTATCTGATCCGATACCATGTATCGGAATGCAATCGACGCCCATCAAGACCGAGGAACCCATGGAATGCAGCGTCACCAAGACTTCTACGGTCGATTACAGGAACATTGATTCAATCGTCAACAGCACACCTTGCAAGAAGGAAAATACAATCAACTCTGATCCAGTGAGACACTCGGTGATCAAGCGGGCGGAGGATCTGAAGATGGAAATAGAGCAGACGCCGCTCAAGGAGGAACTCAAGGACACCGGCGATTGTTGCTGCCGGCACAAATGCTGCGTACACAGCAACGACAGCATCCTCCAGAAAACGAAGATCCTCTCGGATCTTATTCTCAAGACGCAGAACCCGGTCTTTCGACATTTGCTAGATTCGATGGAGTTGCGGTACGGGTTGGAGAACGTTTGGGGCAACATTATAGACACCGCCAACACGTGCGGCCAGGATCTCAGAGTGAAGAACGAGAACGTCGCCGAGATGGAGCAAGATCTGCCGCTGGACTTGACGATCAACAAATAACGAACGATCGGTTGACAACGTACCAAAAAGCTCATAGTCGTCAGTGTACGAATTATCTTCATTATATACGCGACAAAATACGGATTAATTAACATGTCGTAAATTTCACAGAAGCAACAAATCGATGTCGTAATAATTCAATCGGCAAGAAACGAAATTAATCCATCTCTGAAACGAAAATTGTTTCGATCAGACTGCGAAACCAAATATAATTATAATACTTTGTGTTTAATACTTGTGTCTAATACTTAGTATTTAGTATTATATAATGAAAATTAACAAGATGAAAGCAGTCAAAGATCGAACAAAAATTTGCTCAAACCGTTTAAGCAGCTGTCTAGTAATGATTGTACGAATCGAAATGTTAATCAGAGATAATCAGATCTTGGCATACGCTGGAGCAACAATTTTGATCATTTTAATCGATACCTTAAAAATGATGTTTTCAGTTTGTCGAATTAGCAGTATACTAAAATCGGATAAGTATAGCTGATATAATAATGAAAGATAAACTGGTTATATGGCTGTAAATATATTTGAAAGACACGCAGAAAAATGCAAAATAATTTGCTCCCATTCGATAATTCGTTCGTTAGGATTGGAGTCTAAAAGTTATGTTTTTCTTATATAATAAGACCCTTATATAAAACAAATCATATCTCAACACTTTATGTAAACAAAATGTATGTGTATCATATGTATATAGAAATTTATATATATGTGTATGGAGAGTCACACATAATTAAAAAGTGAAGTGAATCTGGGAGGAAAGTGCCTTCCTCTGCTATAAAAGCAGTACATGTTTATGATGTGAATTATTTCAATAAAAAAATACATTATTTATGTATATACATATATTGTGTATTCGCTTCCTTCCCATGCGGCTAATTTTTTGCATAATTGTCCATAGTTGTTTTTCTTATCATTAATGTTATTGTGATACATATACACACATACTGCATAATTTTTTTTATTTTAAGATAAAAAATAATTTTCTTACATTAGTTTTCACTAAGACTAAAATATAAAATTTATTTGTAAAAAAAAGAGATTCTATTGATAAAAAACAATGACATTATTTTAGCTATTTATAAAATTTGGAAAATTAGAGGAAATCGCTTAATTGATAATAGCATATATCTGATAGATATATAATGAATTTCTTTCTGGACAGAAAAAATTTTATATAAAAAAGGATGTTTTGTAATCTCGCTTCTTTTAAAAATTTTAATCTACAGAGTTTAAAAATATGTTTTCGAAATATCTTTTATTTCCTTTTTATTATATGTGATTTGCAGGAAAATTTGATATGTCCGTAACATTTATCGACAGATGGCAATATTAAAAGTCAGCTGGAAACTGGAGTTGCGTATCTTCTTTATCTGACAGAAACGCAACCTAACTGTAACATAACATAACCTAATTGTTCCCGATTGTTTGTTATCGAATTATTTTATTCATAACAAATACTTTAGAGTGGATATATCCATATTAATTCAATGGCAAACGATAGGGAAGTACTCCGGGAAATTTGGGATGGAAAAATTCCAGTCTGTTTCACTCTCAATTCCGAGGAAATCTGCGATTTACAAGGACCAGATCCGTTTTATCTAATGGTACCTAGGTTAAGTTACTTTCCATTATGTACAGAGAAGGTAAGAAATATATTTGCACAAAGTATCTTATTGGAGATCTTACTGGAACTTGTTATTTTACAATTTTATTAACATTATGTCCAAACATGGATTAAATATATATGTATATTGTTTCCTTACTTAGGTACGAAAGCACTTTATACGACACATACAAGGTGATAGCAAACAAGAGCATGAGATGTGGTTGGAATATAATGGAATGCCATTAAAGTGGCATTATCCAATTGGTGTTTTACTAGACATTTATTTCAATGACATTCAATTACCTTGGAATATTGTTGTCCACTTTGATAAATTTCCAGAGAATGTTCTAATGCACTGTCAAAACAAGTATGCAATATAATTTAATCAATGACGAGATATACCGATTACTTATTGATTTACACTGACAGATAATATAAATATAATCTTATGCAATTTTAGAGAAGTTGTAGAAGCCCATTTTCTTTCTTGCATAAAGGAAGCTGATGTTCTGAAGCATAGAGGCCAAATTGTCTCTAGTATGCAAAAAAAAGACCATACACAGCTATGGAATGGTATTATGAATGACAAATTTGATCAGTTCTGGTCTGTGAATGGTAGGCTTATGGAAACCAGTACTGAGGAAGGATTTAAATATATACCTTTTCGATGTTATACGAATGAAGACAAATACATACAGAAACTTGTAAAACCAACGAATGAAGAAGGCCAGAGAAAGACTTTGAAGCATTTGTTAAATGAAGTGTTCCCAGATCAAGAAAATGGTTTGTAATGTTTTTTTTTTTAATATAAACTTTATATAGGAAAGGAACAAATATATATATACACACATACACATCCTCATTTATTGAGAGAAATTGAGACTAATTGTGACTTTGTACAGTTGCAGTGCGCACCCATGGCATTGTACCACCTTCAGAAACACCGCTTCAGTGGATGTCAGAGCATTTAAGTTACCCGGATAATTTTCTGCATTTAATCGTGATTACATCGTAACGTATATTGAGGAACAAGTAATTTCATTATTAAGTGACAAAATAACTTTTTTGTAATTTTTGTGGAATATTATGTACATTGCTTATGTTTTATATTATAATGTATTTATTTTATGATAAGCAATAGGAGTAAGTGCAAATACCCAAAATATTTTCGACACTTAGTTTGAATTTCTCTGAGCCAAGTCAAGAGAGAAGTTCTACGAACATACCCGGATTCGACTTGAATTTTGTGAGTACTCACACATTCTTAGATATTAACTGAGATGTATTATATTATATGTTTGTTTTTGTTACAAAGTATATTTTATAAAGCGATTGTGACAAATAGTCTCATGTGGTAAATGAACACATTAAAAAATGTTTAAACCTTATAATATTATTATAATGTATGTATATATACAGATTTCCTTGAAACTAATACTATAATGTTAATGTAAACAGCTAAGTTTATTGAACAAATTATTGTATTATTCTCATCAAGTTATTGCACATCTTTCACTTGGCTTATGATATTCTCTCGGTATCTGCAAGGATAAAGGAGTGTTCTGTGTAATCACAGAACCTGCAGGTTTTCGTATAATAATAGGATGATTTCCATTACTACTATATTCTATTGTTCTGCGACTGCTCCCAAAAGTGAGGTAACTGACAACTTTCTTCTTTCTACTTTGTTGCTCCTGTAATCAAAGATTTCACGAGGTTAAAAGTTCGTTTAACTTAAATTAATTTTATTTCTCTTTCATATTTTCTTACATTAAATATAACCATTGCTGTATCTTGGTATCTCTTGTGAATCTCTTCCTTGCTCAAGACAATGGTTACCTCAGGAGATTCATAATGTGTAGACATTTATGTATTTTGTATATTTTTGCATCAACATTTAGCATATATTCTTTCTCTACAATTCCTTCATCTTTTTTAAATCTGTAATTATAAATTTAATCTAGCAGCAATTCTTCGCACGCGAATCTATGTATTTAGAATGTTTTTAAGTCTAGATAATTTTAATAGAGAAATGGAAAAGTGTCGGTCGGTTAAAAAGATAGTTTCAGTGTTTGATATCGCGGTAATACAAAAGCGATAGCGACGAAAACAAAACGAAAAGACGAAACGGAGAAAAGGAACAAAAAGACACCTTTGCTGGGGTAAAAATATACACTGTGTAGCCTTTCGCAAACGTTGATTTTCTCGCCATTATGGGAATTACGAACGACTCCCTGAGACTCTCTCTCTTTTTTTTCCTTTCTTTTTCTTTCCTGCGACATCGAGAACACGTGTACCGAAGAGACAGGCTTTGCGAATGTCCGTTTTATAATTAGCAACCATCGCGAAAATGAGGATCTCTCTCACTCGAATGTCGTGTGCCTGAGGGTCTCACGGACCGAATTACCATTTAAATGTAACGCCTGTTCTCTTAACGTCACGTTGAAAATTATTCTTGTCTCTCCAATATAATACTCCCGTCACATCGTACTTAATTTATATATCTTCTCGCGCGTATCAATTTATGATTACGACTATACCTCATACTCCATCATGATCATCGTAGTTCAGTCATAGTTCAGACTGATTAACATAATCAATAATCATGGTGGCGTCAATCCTGACCTCGAAAAAAACGATATTACGTTTATGTCAACGAGATGCAAAGCAAGTTTCTTTGATATTAACTTAATTAATTAACAAGAATTTGTTTTCTGGAAAATATTTTTCCAGCATATATATATACTTGAAATATCTAATATCTATCAGGAATCTGTTTTACATAGACTGTCAACAAAAGATAGAGAGCAAATCTATCGAAGCAGGACTAAAGGAAACCTCTAAAAACATCTCGTCCATCAAATGTGTTTTATCTTTAATCTATAATCGCAGAAGGAGAGGGAGAAGGCGCGCTTTATGTGGGACATGGAAACTTTGTGGATTATAGGGTATCGCGCGATTGATGAAAATTCATGAGTAATAATAGTATTTGGCAAATAGCGCGTTATTTACCAAGCTCGAGTTGCCCCGGCATGTTATCCCCAACACGGGAATATGCCGATTTCTCGTTTCGCGACACACTTACCCCGTGTTCGCCGATTTCTTACACGCCTCGAGAAGCGCGACTGGTGAATAAAATCAGCGCACGACGAAGAGCTCACTCTAAAAGAATAATCACCGAAACCTTAGACTTTTGTCTGTCCACTATACTATTTGCACGTTCTTCAAACAGAATCGGTCACGTCGCTCACAGTTGGAGCAACGCCAGAGTCTTTTCGGTATACTTTCGTATTTCCGGTCGGAGAATAGATCAAGAGAGAGCGAGACTTTTTTTAAGTATCTAGGTGTTGGTCCAATTCGTATTCTCGACGCTTTTCGAGATACATATAATGTCATCTGTTAAATCGACTTAAATATTAATCGCTCAACTCGATTCGAACGCGGCTATGTTAAACCGCGACAAAATTATCTTCGCGATTGATGTTTCCTCTAATATTAATGCATTCGTCGGAGTCATCGCACGAAGTTTTTTTTTTTTTGACCATGCACCCTTCCACAAAATTATCTTCGCGATTGATGTTTCCTCTAATATTAATGCATTCGTCGGAGTCATCGCACGAAGTTTTTTTTTTTTTTCGACCATGCACCCTTCCTAATTGCATTGCACCAGCCGGTGACATTTATTGCCGTTGATTGACGCGTTGCAACAGTCATGTTTTGATTCAAGGTCTGCTTAGTGCGCATACGGTGGCCTTAATAAAAACGCTAAATGTTGTTATTATCACGATTTAACGATGAGGTTTCGCATGATATCGCCTAATGATTTACATTCCTTCCCGAAGAATGCACCGTCAATCTTTTCCTTGAAATAAACTCTTATATATGTCGTTCATAAATGACACAACGATATATACATTTTCTTGTATACCTAATTCAAAGAATTTAGCTGACAGATAAAAAAAGAACGATGACATTTCCACATAATATATAAATTTACTCATAAATATAGTTATGAAAAAAATTATAAGTTTTCTATATTTTATTATATGACTAAAAATTCAAATTTAAAATAGCTGTTTCTCTCATACACGTTGATATTTTTCGTTAAGAAAGCCAAAACTATGTTGATACGTCAAAAAGCTAATTGTTCTGATGTTGTTAAAATAGTGATCTGTACTCTCTGGATTGTAAAGGCATTGTGTTTAATATGCTGGCAGTACAACTGCCCCTCCCCCCCCCCTCCCCACATACACATACATGCAAAGAGAGTTACGCGTGCGCATTTTATTTTATTTTATTTTTTTTATATATATAATTGAGAAGCAAATGCAGATGAAAATTGAAACTGAATTTCATTTTTTGTACGTTTAACTGCCGCATGAGATAACGATTGCTCAATCTGCTCAGTGCATTGGCAATCATTTCACTTACACGTTGCAACACGAACACAGGCATGTATAAGCCGAATGCGTTTAAGATGGAATTTCCAACTGATAAACAAAAAATATAAAACAATAAAGAAGTTTTTATTTCGCAAATTTAGAAATGAAGATTTATTAATGAAATTTATTAATAATATTTTTTATTAAAACGATTAAATAAGAATATGTTTGACGTGTACGCGACGAGTAAAAGTAATTCGCGAATGCCAGTACTTTGGCAATAATTAAAAAATAATATATTACTGTGTTCTCTTATCTAAATTTCCGCTTTTCCCACCCCATCCCAAAGACATTTACTAATTAATCTTTATCATCACAATAGCATCAGCGTAAAACTATAAAAACTCGTGATTCTCATTTTATAATCTCTCTTTTACTTTTAACGACGAGCATTTTATTCCCCGTTATATACCGGACTCGTGCAACGATAAACATCGATAATAAATCATGCATTTACATAGCAGAAATTTACTGTACATTCTACATCGTTGCTCACAAAGGATTTGAAACTTTATGATAACGCGTATGAAAAAATGAATCATATAATCTATATATGTAATTATATAAAAATGAGATCAAGATTTTTCTTATATTCGTAAAATCAGTAAGAAATCCATCAGACACAGATTTATAGGATAGTGCAGTTCTAAAGATCAGAATTCACAATAAATAAGGCAAACGTGAGCGATCGCACGAAGAGCACGAGTTCGCTGCAGCTAACAATAAGCGATGTTGCATCGGTGTGTCGTTCACGTACACATGTGCGTGTATGTGTGCGCTCCTGCGTTACGCGTACTCGAAAGTATGCGATGGGTGCCTGGAGAACCTAATGCACAGGCGGCTGCGGCTGCGGCGAGCTGCCAATCAGGCGCGATATGGGAAACAATGCATCGGTGCATCAGTATAAGTATGCGTAGAGAAAAGGGTAAGGAAAGAGAGAGAGAAGGGAGAGAACGGGGGGAAAGGAAGACGATGTGCGTGAATCTCTATGACTTGGACTCACGCGCGCTTATCTTTATCGCGCCTCTGTAATCCCGCGTAGCAGGGGGAGAAGGGGAGAGCCGGGGCGAGATATCGAAGCCTCTTCGAGACCGCACTCGCAACTACGTTGTGTATGCGCGAAATTACGTAAATCTTTAATTGTGAGAAGAGGGAGTATCGTTTCATCTTGGTAAAAACACAAAGACGCAGACTATGATCTCACTTTACCACGAACAGTTGGAGGAAAATATTATACATAGACTGCGAGGTATTTAAAATTGATTCAACTAGAGAGATTCACAGACGAGACCTTGAAACCGCGAGATAGAAATTGACGTAGTGTTTATCAATATTATAATAAAAATGATTTCGGGTGCAAAAGGTTAAATGACGCAGCGATAACGGTAAAATTTAATTCGGAATATTACGATTTTAAATTTTACGACCTTACTATTGCGCGTTGTTCCATAATTCAAGCGGAAATGCCTGAATCAATGTAAGCAGAGAATAAAATACTTTTTCTCTCCCATATTGCGTCGCGTAACTGCTGAAACACTCGGTAAGAAGATAAATGCTTGTACGTTTTGTGGAATCGCGTGAGAGACTTTATGAATCATATCAGTAGAAGAAAGACCTATTGCGTCAATGCGCTAATGCAATATGCTTTCTTTAAGCCATTCGATCATCGTGCCTTTGTAGATAAATACATACGATTTTTCAAAGTTTCTTAGAAAATATTAATAAAATCTCCCAAGTATTATAAATGATACAAATTGCCAATAATTCAATAATTTTGTACAAAATATAATAACTTGTAATTATTACCAGAATTATGGAAAGAAAAAACATTTATGTATACAAATTTATTTTTTCAGTATTAATCGATATTATTACTCGCACACTAATTAAGAATAATCTATCGAAAGACAATTTATGGTTTACTTTGCCAGGTGAAATTTAAGAACAAATATTATATCTCATTTTCTGCGAAAATTATATTTCGACTGCTTTAAATTTTAATATTCGAATTATCGAAATAATAATATTGTTTCAGTTTACATCTGCAACAAACAGCATCTTGTATAAGCTTCGTCACAAATTATAAGAATAATGAGAATGCATGAGCGATATTAAAAGATAAATTTGATAGGCAGGGAGAGCGACAAAACACAGGTGTAAATTCTTTTAAAATAATCTTTTATATTTTCTCTCAAATTCGATTAGGTCCTATGTCATATGAAGCGTGTCATGCTCAAAGACGTTGCGAATACCAAAATGGGCATTCTTGTTGTTTGGCACGCTTCATATATATATAATCTATACGCGCGTGTATATGATACAATATTTAATACAATAATTTTTCATCTCTGCGACGTACAAAAGAATTTATATCTCGATGCCTTTCTCTTGCACTCTTCGAACATTAAAATCATACATTCTCACTCTCGTTCTTCAATACTTTCTTTTCTCTCTTTCTTTCTCTCTTCCGTTCGTGAACAGCGATAGCCCCTTCGTGAGAAAAAAAAATGAAATTTATGAAACTATAATAAAGATGGAATAGAAATTTATAAAGAAATATGTTTATAAGATATATCTTTTCTCTCTTTCTTTCTCTCTTCCGTTCGTGTCTTTTTGATAAATTACAATAACGGTTGTCTCAGATAAAAATCGGCAATGAGAAAAATAGGCGCACACAAATAAATAATACAAGAAGAGATACGAAATTAACATTGTTATTAGCCACAATTTCGTTTGCAAGATGAAGATGCTGATGGATTATTAGATTTTCGTTTTTGAGCTGTCGCGCGGAACCGTGTGCTTTCTTTCTCTCAACCTTTATCGATTACATGTACCAATAACAGCAAGATAAAATATCGATGAGCAACGAATCGCCGGATAATCTTCGGCCGAATCAAATTAACGATTGTAGGATGTGATTAAGAGAAATTCAACGTTTTTACGAAGTATGCGATCGGGAAGGCATAGAGATGACGAGATTAACAAGTTATTTTGCGGGACTTTGGAGGCTCTTTATATGTCACGGGAAACAATAAATAAGGAATAGTTGAAATACTGATATTATATGCTTGCGCGCGTGAGGAGGTCACTGGTATATATCTGTACACTATTTTACTTTCTAATTTGCATTCGCGCAATTTCGTCAAAGATACAATACGACAAATATTATATTATCAGCGAGAGACTCGTAATGTCTATGGGTTTTTGATTCCTCCTCGCGCGAGAAATTGTAAGGCACGAGCAATTTGAAGGCACCGGGCGAGTTCAGAGGCGCGTTCGTCGTGTAAGTTGATCGTATCAAAATATAACTTTCGATATATATGTATATATATGTATATATAGATAGATAAATTTTTATGTACTTTCTTTGATATTTTCGCGTTCTAGCTCTTCTCTCATCGTTCTTTTTTTTATTTATATATATACATATATAAACTTTTTTGTACATGTACAATACGAGCATTATGCTTATATATATATATATACATATATATGCCTTACGCCTCTCGTTAACAGACTCTTGTGGGCTGTGGTGTATACGTGACTACATATACGAGTTTAGACGGACACGCGACAAGCACACTCACACACTCACATACAAGGCACTCCAGCGGCGAATTCATTTTTCGCGTAATCGAGAATTTTTTCGTCAGTCGTACAGCCTTCCTTTACGTAAAATGTATTATGGCATTATGTAATTTATTATGGCTTATAATTACGCACGCGCGCTTTTATTGTACATTGCCGCCTTGACCACTATTAACAATTGTGGGCAAAGCGCGAAAACCTACTTTTCTTTGTTCGATCTCTCGATCCTCGGACTTGATTGGCGAATCGTTTTGCAATAAAAAGACATATATATTGAACAATTAAATCATTAATTCGAAATATATATATGTGTAATTTTTAAAACAAGATTCAAAGATTTTGATAAAATGAAATAAAAATATTTCTTTTTATTCTGGAAAAAGGAATGAAAAAAGTATTATATTCTGATCATGATATGATGTGCTGTTCTCCGTAGCAATAATAATTATAATTATCATATTTTGAATTTATTACTCGTGAGACGATAAATTAGAGCTCGGTACGAGGCGATCGCACAGCAACCATATTGAATAATGCCGCATCATGAATGAGCTCGATTAAGCGTGAATATTGAAACATTAACGTAACTGCCCTGTCTGCAGCAGTGATTTACAGAATTGCCTTTCTTGCTGATCGCTTGGCAACCGCTTGATTGTTTAGAAATCTATTTTATAAATAATTTTCTTGATTCCGATTCAATAATTAAAATATTAATGATCTCTATAAAACTACAATCACATCATATCGCTTGATATTTTTGTCTTTACTAAATATGAAATTTACTTTAGCTACGATATGATTGTTTTATAGTATTTGTGACTGCTGTAGAATTTTATTGACTGATAGACTATATTTTTCCGATCCGCGCGCGAGTAAAGTATCTCTTACAATCTATATAATATTACTTCCTTTAACATCAACTAACAGTTCACAAGATTTCCCTCTGACAATTCGCCAGCAAAGTCAGACGCGAAAGAAATCGCTTATCTTTTCGAGGATCGTAATGCATTTCGACGAATCGAGTCGATCTCAGTGCATTGGGAACAAGAGTGCATTCATATTATGAAAAATATTTATTTATAAATTGTTATGCTTTCAATTGTCCTCCTTCCCTACGTGAAAATAAAGAAATAATGTTCAGAATTAGGAATTTGTGTTTTCAAATTTTGCAAATTAAAAATGTGTTGGAGAAAATTACGTAAAGAACGCACATTTAAAAAAAAATTCTTTATATAAATTAATCGCAGTATACTAAAAATAAAGATTTTTACTTTTCCGATATTTCTAATTCTTAAATTTTTAATATTTGCGTGTTTTAAAAGTTTATAAATAATTCCTAATTCTCTAGGCTAATTATTTTTTAATTCTTATTCCTCATTCTTTCCTATGAAAAGTCAATTAAATAAGAGCATCTTTGTTGATCATCAGAATATTGATATATATATTGAATATTTTAAACGACAGGAAATATTTTCGCATGCTTCTTATTTAAATAGAAATATTATTTTTTATGTTGTTTACAATAATTAATTACGGACTTGGTTCAATGCCGATGCGTAATCTTCCTCTCGTTTAAATTATTCGATTGCGATCACTGATCGATATCGAAGACAAATAAAACTTTCATGATTTGAACGTGGAATTGTATATAGAAAATATAGGTATAATTATATCACTTCTAAGTTGATCTATCTTATAAATATTAATTAAAATCTATACATTATTACCATAATAATTAATATTATACAATTTATATGTCCCTGTGATTTGTCTTATCTCGCTCCTCGTGCGAGCGATATACATCTTTAATATGAATATATTATATAAGGCACGTATGATTTTCTTTCAGAGTTGTTCTTATATGTCTTTTCAATTCTTCCTACTCATCTTGCATAACTACCGATTTTTCTATCAGTCAGCGAACTAATTACATTTTATGTATGCAATAACATCACGTGTATAAGTTATCTTTCTCGTTTTAAATATTTTAACGACGGATAAATTGATCGCTGAACATCTTTGTCATTATTCAGTAAATTGATTTGTCGAAAGCAAAGTGCATAACGAACAAATTTACTTTCTAGATATCGAATCTATTATTTCCTAAAAATACTAATATATATATTATTACATAATTGACCTATGCGTCTTTGTTGTGTTAAAAACGTTTTGTATTTTGTCTTATACTGACAAAAAAAGGCACAAGAAGTGGTCTCTGCGGAAGTGGTTTATTTCGTCTCGAATTTCCATCTCTTCCTTTATGGTTCTTCTTTTTTTCTTCTTTTTTTCTTTTTTTCAGACGGGATCGTATAAAAATAGCTTATTTCTCCCAAAGGAGTTTCTCCTTGGAGGTATCGACTATTTAAACTTTTTTTAAATAACATTATGATACATCTACCAAATGTACATCGCAGAAATCTCGGAGTACGATAATGTCACGTTTCTTCCCGATTTTCTCAATATTTACATATTTACATATTTACATACCATTTAACAGAAAACAATAAAAAATAAGAACGAGAAATAGACAACAATTGCCAAACAGTGAGAAAAGGGGAATAGAAGAGCGATGACAAGTTACTATTTGTAATACTAATGCGCGTGACGTATATGCGCACATGGAAGAAATTGTTTGAGCAATTAAATGATTTTCACAGATCGGCTGTACATTCGCTACCAGTAATGAATATAATCGCGCGAGCAGTTCGCAGAAAACCATGGATGGTATATTATGTATGTTACCAAGAAATCGTCCGACCAATCTACCCGCCGCCGGCGGATAGTTTTCTATGTAATACAGGGAAAATTAATAAGAAACTTATAATTTAAAAGCTTCGTTTTTTTTCTGACGCAATGCATCGAGCATAATATGCAATATTAAAAATATGACAAGAACGTGAACAGAATTAAAAATTTACTCAACTAAATGTGCTATGAAAAATCATCAAAAATATCTTGGAAGGAGAAATGTAAATTAAAGTTTTTTAATTTCTTTGATAAGTTCATATAGAGATTATAATGCCTATTTCCAGTTATTGCATATCATGCTGCACAACGATCCATCACATTTTACACGTGAAAATGCTTCGGCCAAGACAAGCTTTCTTTCCGCGGACTTTCCTTCGATATATTGCAATGGCTGCGCTGACATAATTCTATAATTATAGCGAACGCATTCGACCTCTAAACGGCCTAGCCGCGCGATAACCACCAGGTTCTAATCTCGACGATAAAGCGGTGAGAAAAAGACTTACCAGGATATCTGTATGATTTTTTCGTGGAGCGAGGTGGGACGATGGAGGGGAAGAGGGTCGAGCAAGTCTGATGAAGTTGGAAGAGGCCAGCTGAGGACGCGACCATGTATAATCTCCTTCCACGCCTCAGCTCGTCCGATTAAGACTTTATCGTGATGTATAACGCGGCACCGACGATCCGTGGAAACGATAAATGCTTACGTGGCCTGCTACGTACGTGTAGTAGATCACGTACCGATTGATCTCTCGCCGGCAAATTTTCACCTGAGAAATCTGCAAATTCGATTTTTATATCCGCAAACTAATTAATTATAACGTACGATCCAATCATTATCGCGTCTTTTTCAAAATTTTGAACAAATGCAGTTAAATAAGATAAAAGGAAAAAAAACATAGACACGACCATTGATCGTTACACGAGCTTGCTGGTTTCCGTTCTCTGCGTTTGATTAGAACAGAAGGAAGGGGAGCGGTTCGAAAGAGGAAGTTACATGTAGAGCGAAGATACGCTGACAAACGCATTCCCTTGCGGAAACCCTGTATACAAACTTATATCAGGTCTCCAGGAAACCGGTACTCGCAGATTAAGCTCGAAATCATAGTTGCGACTTTGATTCTCGTTGAAATTACAAATTATTTGGCAATTGTTGTTATTATTATTATTATTGTTGTTATTGTTATTGACGTTGTGGCTGCTGATAGGAGATAGATCGCGCTGATCGGCACATTTCTTCGCAGGTTTGCTCACGGGGTTGTCTAAGTAAGGCTTGAAAGTGATAGCGTCCGTATTATTCGAAGCCGATACAGTACTCGGTTTCAGAATCAATTCCGTTCGAGAAGGAGAAGGTTCCCGAGTCAATCTCGGTTTCACGAGACAAAGAGGTGTATCTTGAGGAGGTGCATCGTAACAGTCGTCCATATCCGAAAACCTTTCGCAGAATCTTTTTGGCGACGGCATTGCATCGTAACAGCAAGAAAGCATACAATGCTGCCTCTTCAGCGGTGAAAATCTTTGCTCGCATCCTTCAGAAAAATTAGAAACTTCGGAATTTGCTCTGGGTGAATAACAGCGTGCTTTAACTGAAGACTCCATATAGCAGAATTCTCTCAAAGACAGGTCTTGATAAGAGGATGTCGTCGAAATCGTCGTACTGTCTACAGAGCAAGAAAGATTGCAAGGCCCTATAGCTTCTACTTCGGAGGATGATTCTATTCTAGTAAAGTGTTGATAATGTTGAGGAGAAACGGAACTAATATCGCAACGATAAAAATGCGACGACGATCGTTCTTGTTCCATCTCAAACCGATCACGTAACAGCGAAACACAGTTCGGAACATAATTTGTCGTCGTTAGATCCAACGGTGAGTCACCGGAAGCGACATCCTGGGCAGGACCCAATCGTTGACGTGAATCTCCTCGAAGGGCGATTTCATCCCTGAGTTCCGCCTCTTGCTCTAACCACTTCTGTACCTGACGACGATTTATACCGAATTTTCTAGCGGTGGCTCGTTGATTCTCTTTTACTTCCTTATCTCGATGGAAAGCATCGAGAACATCAAGTTTAAAACGCAAGGGAAAAGAACGTCTGCGAGTGAAATTGCCGGATGAATTCAAGCTGCCAGCCGAAACGAGGGGATCCATTTCGCTATCCGAGCAGCTACTCCGGTATCTTCCGACGCTAACAGAATCTCGAGGACTCGACGGCAAAGAGTAACCGTTGCGATCGTACATAGGACTTACCGGTCCTGAACTACCTACTAATGATTCGCCCGTCTGTGGTCGTCGATAATCCATGCACGAGGATGCGGTAACTTCTTCTGCTTCGTCATATACTTCTTCCTCATCCAAGTGTACTTCTTTTTTGACTATCGCCGTACAATATTCTGCTTTTTCCAACATCTCTTCCTCCTTCTTCTCTTCGACATGCTGCGTCGTCTCTTCTGACTCTCTCTCCTGCTGGTGCAGAAGCGACGGGATCGGCTTCTCGGAATTCAACGGTGAGCATGGGTGTGCGTGTTCATGCACGTGCACGTGCAAGTACGGGCTCGCGGCGGCTCGTGAGGAATCAACAAAGTGAACGGACGATGAGGAACCGCCGCTATCGGCGGCTCGATGCGATACCGGCGAGAGTGGGGCCCGTGGGCCACCGGGGGAATCCATTGATTCGTACGGTCCTGATGTCGCCGCTGTGTCTGGGCTCGCTGGCTCTGTCTTTATCATCGACGGCGCTAGTAGCAAGCCGTATGATCTCCCGTCGAATGAATCGATGTTTCCATAACTTTGTTCCCGCTGCTGCGAATGATGATTCGGCGAATGATTATGCATGCTACTGTTGATATCATTCACGCCGTATCGATGCTCTTGAGATGGCGAATGGTAACTTGTCAAAGTTTGATATACCTTCACCTCGTTCCTACCGCCAAATATTGAAGCTGCTTCTACATCTCGTTGTCCATCTCCGTTTAATACGTAGTAATTACGATCTTGATCCACTTGCGTGCTAGAATATCCATGAATCTCTGACATATGAATTCTGTCTTCAAGTTCTAAATGGAGACGTTGTTGTTCTGACGAATATTCTTGATAACCCATGGACGCGACGCATAGGGGCAAAGTCGTGCCGATGGTAGTAGTCTGACGGTTATATTGGGGCGAGGAGGGTGCACTGCCATGCGGAGGATGAGAAGGTGGGGGCCCTTGCTGTGTAGTCAGCTCGTCGCCGTGCTGTCTGGCGAGGTTGAGGTTCAAGGCCGGCGTTGCTGGAGTCACGGTGTTTCCTGTAGCTTCCGTCATAGTACCATCCGATTGAGAACCCGTGGAAGAAATGGAGGCAGTCCCAGTATTTCCATTTTCAACGCTACTTCTGAGCTGCTCCTCACATTGTAGCCATTTTTGTATTTGACGACGATGAATACCATATTTTCTCGCAGTGGCACGTTGATTCTGGCGGCAATCCTTGTCGTGTCTATAAGAATCTAGAACCTTGATTTTAAAAGCTGTTGTAAAAATACGTCTGGTACCCATAACGCCCACAGATTTTCGCATGTTCTGCTGCTGATGCTGTTGATGCGTTGATTGTTGATGTTTCGAATGAATCATTTTCACTGATTGTGAGCTATCCTCACTGAGCACCTCACACTCACGTCATATATATAAATAGGTCATGGATTTTGATTTTAAATATTACACATACGTAACTTATTCGCACCTGTAATAGTCGTCACGTCGACCATAAAAACGAGTCCGACAGTATAATCACGACGCAGATAACAACTACCACAAAGTTTAAGACCGGCACTGTCAACGATACACGAGGATACCTTAACGCTTAACATTGCACGATGCGATCTGGCGGCGCCGGAGTTCCTTTTAGGTCTTGGATGCCGTAACTAATTTTCATCCCCACTACCAGCGAGAACTGCCGCTGCTTCCCACTGGTCTTTCCCCTCCGCTCTAACGCCGTCTCTCGCTCTCTCATTCCCTCGAGCCTCTCTTCTCGCACTCTCAGCCTCTCCTCCGTGTATCCCCACTCGCTCGTCACTTCGTTTATTGCTATCTGCGTTCAACTTATCGCCATTGTCGTTTTTCCTCTTTCTATCTAATGGTCGTCCCCTCAACACCCCGTTGCCACCATTCGTACAGTACGGGCGCTATTTTACCGCCGAAGGCGGCTACTAGTCATTCTTCTTTCTCTGTGCCACCGACCTAATCTCCTCTCTTTCTACGGATCTCTCGTCATCCTACCTCGCTCGCCTGTCTAACTGCCCGCAGGCGTAGACACCCTCCCTGTCCTCTCCTTTCTCTCTTCCCTTTCACACCTCAACTCTGTAAAACTCCGCCATTTTGTGGGCTCACTTCCGTTAATGACGCGCGCGGGAAACGTCACGCCGGCGTGACGACGAGCGCCGCTTAGCAGTTTGCCGTAGCAGCCAGCATGGAGCCTCGATTTTTGCTCGCCTTTCTCCTCCAGCCGATCGCGCCTCTCCGTTCGACTTCTCTATACAAGAGGTCGAATACGCATAGAATGTGTAACATTCCGGACTTTTCTATAATTCGTTATATGGCATATATAGCATCTATATAAAATTTAAGATCAAAACGATAGCGAAGAACAGAAACAGATTGTAATTAATTATGAAAATTTTATTCTACGAAAGAGTATGTAATTTAGATTAGGTCGTAGATATATACTTTACGAGATACGAACTCTAAGTACAATACATCTGACTCAACGATAGCATAGAAAATTTTATAGCCGACAAAGACAGCCTAGTAAATGAGGGAATTTCATCTTCTAGGAAAAGCGCTTATAGTTAGACTTATAGCTAAAGCCAGGGACTTATCGGATTTAAAATTATCTGTATTTTAATTAAAGCAATTAATATTATTGTGCTAGTTAAAATTAGTAATCCATTAGTTTACCGTTACCGCGCGTTCAATATTTTTGTATTTATATTATTCTCTTCACTCCGTTTTTCTTTTTTCTTGTTTCTCATGCCGTTAAAGTTTTGAATGAGATTTTGAGGTATACGATAACCTCTTGCATATGCGCCATGGAATGAGATCATGTTGTTTTTGTGGCGTGAGCCGACAGTTAATATGTTTAGCTTCACGCGCCGTTGCCATGTCTCTTCTTAGCTACACGTAGGCCGCAACGCATACGAACGCGCGGAGAGACCCGCGAGGCAATGACGCAAGCCGCACGCTCGCATATACTTCGATGAACGAACGCGTGAGCAAGATAGACTGATAAAAAGAAACGGACGAGGCCTCGTAAATTTCCACGATTCGCGCCACCGGCAGAAACCAAGGATGCCGACGAATCCTCTCGCAGTTCTCTGAAGAGGCACCCTATTCTATTTCCAAGAATCACGGCGGCTATTCTTGCGCTTACTGATCACGATGAGGCTTCTCTTTTGAACACGTCCACCGTGCAGCGAGAAGGCACCTGCGAGGATCGGCCTTCGCGTAGTTATATAGGCACGATTCATCGTTCAGGTATTCCACCTATGTGTCCTTGAAACAGAATGTCTTCCTGTCAATTTCCTGCGTGAACAATTGACAACTGCATTACATAATAATATTAATATTTTATCAAGTGATTTATAAATTCGTTTATAACTTAGATTATGTTTATAGTCATAGTAATTACGTGACGTTAGTTTTCTTGCATTTTTCTTTCTACCTTTTCTCATTTATCTATTCTTCATCTTCTATCTCGCGTATTCTTTCTTGCGAGTAAACTAGAGTATTCGCTGAAAATAATATCGGCAGCGAGCATCGTAAGGAAAACATCGAGGCAGCAGCAGACCGGCAGTCGCCTAGTGCGGCACGACGGCTGGCACGGCTCGTCGGATTTGTCCTTGGGGCCGAAGGTAGGCGCAGCACGAAGACCGAGTAAATGGCAACGCAGCGCCCGGGCGCCCCCTCTTTTGTCCGCCGGCCGGTCTTGCCAGACAGGGTGTCGCCAGCTCGGTCGGCCTGGTCGTCCGGGTTAGCACGAGGGACGAGGAAAGGGAGAGTATATGACGGAGAAGAGGGAAGGGAAGGTTGATATATATGTGTATACGTCTGTGTGCGATAGAGCAGCACTAGGGGGGAAGGGACGCGCCACAGGGGGAATCGTTCGAGCGGTGGACATAGAAGAGACGAGACGAGGGACGAACGCAGCTTCACAGCTCGCAGCTCGTAGCTCGCTTAGAGATCGTTGTGTGTGTATTACAGGATCGGTCATGGACCTATATTCACGCAGGCCAGGCATGTTTGAAAACTCGCATTCTTGTGGAATGTGGCCTGCGGAGCCCCCTTCGGCGGCCTCCCTCTTTTCTCCTCAATCTCCGGCCCTGCGAACCTCTCTTCGAGCGCAGTGGACATTGCTCGGACGCCTACCTACGCCCTCTCCTTGCCCCGCCGTCCTTCCATGATCCCCGTTCACCCGCCGCACCGCCACAGCCACCAGCTTGGCGCCCCAAATAGTCGCGTAACCAGAGACGCGCCTCTGGCCTGGCTTGGTCGGGCCAGACTTCTCGGCGCCCAAATGATGTACGCCGACCATCCTCTGTCTCTCTTCGTCCTTTGCGTTCGCTCACATGGCTCTCTGTTGTAGCCTTCGCTTTCCGCGCTTTCTTCCACGTACTTATGCACAGGCATGACTGGCGGAAAGGAGGTTCTATAGGAATGATAAAGAACAACGATGAGGAAAAGGAAAACGCCAAGTCTATTTACCAATGCCTCAACTTACGACACCTTGTTTTCAATTCAGTATTCATGACCTTTACCTATCTAATTCATAATATGAGCAACGAAAATTCTATTACTATTAAAAAAATAGTCGCAAGTGTTAAAGAAGAAAGAATACACGGGACGGTACGTGACGCAAAAAGATACATTAGATAATTTTTCAATCTTCTCTCTTTTGACTTATGGAAGAAAGGCTCAAATATCTTGGCAAAGGGGAGACACAAACGGTCACCTACAAACGCTCACTTTGTGAGGACGATTGAATCTGTTCTCTCTCAGAATACTGTTAAGTTTTGGTGAAGTTGGCTGTCGTTCAAAAATTTGCATTATTTTGTAATGCACGTTTCGTATTTCGACGATTGTTGCCAGAACTTGTTTCACGCATCTAGTTTTTATTACTCTCCGTGTCGAGTTTTACTTTTAATCGCGTTGTTAATTTCTCATTTCGTAATTCCTCAGCTGTCTGTATTATTTGTTAAATCTATATATATATATATATACAAGTCGTAAAATAGACAGCTGCGTTCCTAATTTAACGATTGATATTTGGCACACTGTATCATGTTTTCGTCATATAAAATATAATTTTTAGAATATTTTATGCGTTATATTTATAGTTTCATAAATATTTACGTTTTGAATTGAGGCTTATATATATTGCAACGTAGAAGAGTACGGTCGCTCGATAATAACGGATTGTTTGCGGAAAGATTTAGTGAACTATGACATATTGCGAATGAAAATATGATAAACGACCATGATACTTGGGGAATATAACTATATAAATATATATGTGTGAACACTCATCTTCTATCCGAAGTAAAGAGCGCCACTCGCTGAAATCGCAGTCTACACAGCTCATAATCTAAACTTATTTATGCGCATGCTTTAACTGGGAGAACGTTACACGTGCACCATACAAATACATTTACATTAGTGCTCACACATACATACAGCATGTATTTACGTGTTATGTATGCGTGCATAGCATCGAATCTAATCATACATATAAACAGGGACGGATCGATCATGCGTGTTAGAGTCTGTGCTTATACATTTTTAAATATTATCAATTGGATAATTTATGTTTCAATAATCTAACTTGAAAAAGTGCAGCTTTATGGAACTCTATATAAAATTGATTGCTTGATAAAAGATTATTTAATAAATTGAGATTTAAATTTAACAAATATTACTTTAGGAGATGATAAAAATATCCTGAATTAATTATGTTCGCTACAGTTTATAGTAATGTTTAAAGAAGTGTAATGTTAATAAGAAATTAACAGAATACGCTAGTCAATTATTCGATAACTCAATCAGCTCTTGCGCGCTATATTTGTAATGACTCAAAGAATTGACGGCTCGCGAAGCTTTTTATAGCTTGCGTTATATTCTGATAACGATAATGCACAATATGTTTTTATTTGTTCCAACATATAATTGAAAGTGACTCGCTCATCTCTCGGCTCGGAGGAAAGAAATGATCCGGTCCTATAATCATAATCATAGCATCAGCATATTCTATCATAATAATCGGTAATTCCATCACGTCATCAGACTATCGAAACATGAATTATCAATTATACGATATGTGTACATGCACGTGGGCTAAAGACGTTTGGTAGATTCGCGCCTTTGCTGGTCGCGTAAAAAAAGAAGGAAAAAAAAAAAAAAATTGACGCGGAGAAATATACCTTCTCCGTAGACGGTTGCGCACGATGGCGCCTACTCGCGCGCATACCTACCTACCTGCGGTCCCCAAGAGGCTTAACCTCGCAGGCGTAGCCGCTGCAACGGCTTCTCGAAACTTTCGTTTCAGCGAGATTCCTCCGACCGTGCGTCATATGAGAGATATACTAATACTACGTTCGTTCTTACGTCCCTGTTTATCGCACGCGCGCGAAGCGAACGTTAGAGAAAGGAACGAACGACATGGACGGACGGACGGACGATTGGTGGATGCGGCTGCGGAAAAAAACGCGCGAGTATGAAAGGAGAGAGAGAGAGAGAGAGAGAGAGAGAGAGAGAGAAGCTTGACACGAGCGAGTCACGATGCGACGCCCACGGGATCGGTTTCCACGGCAAGTCTCACGCACGCATCGCGCACGCACACACGCGCTAACCTTTATCTTATCATTGACGAAAACGTATCGAGGTTGACTGCTGCAGTATTGGCACCAAGAGACTCTACGACGACGACGACTCAATACAACGTATGTATGTATATGTATTGGTCAACACACACTCCATATCTCGCGCTTCTCTTTTTCATCTTCTGCCATTCTCCATTGGAAAAGGAGAATTCCACGAGGATGAAGTACGATGTTGCACGTTGCACCCCGCGTTTTCAACCGCGCGACGTAGATTCCTCTGCAATTCACTTTATCGGCTGAGTAATTATAAGAGAACAATACACGCAATAAAAGACGCTGCTTTATCCGTGGATATCGTTATCTTCAAAGCGGATTGGCCAATCAATACTTTTGTATAGAGATAGTTCATTTCATGTTGCCTGAAAAATATGAATATATGAGTAGGAAGAACGCAATGCAATTTTAATCGTAAAACATTTTCGATATCTTTTAAAATATATACGCGCGCTTTTGTTGCCATTATGCAATATTTTGTTAACATAAATTATTATTAATTTCTTATTGATACATTAAAAAGAAGATTCGAAAAAATCATATAAAATATAAAATTTTGTTATAGGCAATTCCACCAAATAAATTAATCATCGATGATTAAGTTAATCGGAGTTTGAAGTCGTCTTAAGTATGTCAAGCGATATGTGTCTATAATTACTCATCGCAATAATAAACTTTTACACGTGCAACGTCGATATATGTTTATATATCACAGGTCAATTAGACACAAGTTCGATGTAATATGGTTTGTTGGCGTTTGGCCAAGCTAACGATTTATTTGCACGAGAGAAATTGTAATATATCACGATTATTTGATTGACAATCGGATTCTTTAAAATGTTCATGAAACAAGCAACGTTTTTTTCATAGCTTTAAAATTTTTACATAAATAACATTTTGCTGATGCATGTCAATTCTTTTTTATACAGATATATATATATAATATACTTATTTTTCATTTTTTCATTATATAAAGTATAAATTAAGTGGCATTATACCACTTTTGTATGCAATAAATGGTCGTAAAAGAAAAAGAGAGATTCTGTCAAAATTGATCTAAGTTTACTAAAACATTCGCGTATATAAATAGGATACAAATATATGTGATTGATGCATATTAATGCGTATGTGTTCATATTTCTGAATATCTATTGTGTAACCTGTCTTAATAATATATACATTTTTTTTGTAAATTGTTTCATAAGAGATCGTATACATTCAACAAGCATTTTTCGAATAGATTAGCAGTGATTTAATAGCAATAAAAATATTGTATTTAACAATTGATAGCTTCATTAAAAAAGTATTGTATATTTGAGGAAATAAATTTTAATGAAAACACATGTTTTAATGAAGCTATTAGCTGACATCGTTCGTAATTCCTTCATTATTCTTTTGATTTAAATAATATTGAGAATATGATCTCTTTATAGCGCAAGCACCTTAACCGGAAGTCTTTAATTTACTCCACCCAATTTCTCCTCTTTATGAATCGTTAGATAGTATCTGTATCTTAGTAAATGTCTGCTCGTGGTATCAAAATTAATTAATTATAAACGATAAAACGAATTATTAACGAGCAGACCAAACTTAATTAATTATGAAGAAAAAACGAAGCAGTTATATAAAGTTTACTCTTGTAGAATAAATTTTCTCGAATCGAATACTTTTATTTCTACTCTTACGAATGTCAGTTCTCACGAATCTCGTTTACATTCATAAATTAACAAAATGCTTGTTTTTTTGAAGTCCATGTTTATTTACATAATGTGCATAGAAATTTTATTTTCCAGACATATATTTTCATATTAATCCTTCATTAATATTTGAAACGAAAAAAAGTAATCAGTGGGTTATTTATAGCGCGAGTTTATTAATTGAGTGGAGTTGATAAACTGAAAAAGTATATATAATTGTCCTTATAAAATTATTATGTGGCTACTTATGCCGCCGACAGTATGTTGGACCTCGAGTATTTCTCGTTTAATATTCTGAACGCGCACAGCTAAAATTTTAAGAGTCCTCGAGAACCTCAGCTAAAAACGCGCAGAAGACTATCTACACTTAAGTAACCGAATGTTTTTCAAGTGTTTCTCTCATCAGTTCCAATACCAATACGAGTTTCACGAGTAGAGGTACTCTTGTTTGCAAGTCTTGAAAAACAATTTCTTCAGCGGCTTCTCGCAAGTGGTTAATACTTTGAAACATTTTTTATCTAACCACTGTTATTAAGTTAATTCCAATATTAATTAATCATTATATATATAAGTTTAATACTATTGTGGGGATGGACTTTGTATCGTATATGTAAATAAAGAGCTCTTGTTTATTTTTTTTCTCTATGAAACATTTATTCGAATAGCGAACAAAGTGCGAATCGCTTCGAGAATCCGCTAAATTTGAGAAAATATCTTCTCGACCATTCTTTTTTCCTTCTTTCATCTATGCTTACATGCTTAATTACTATCTTAATGCTACTTGTATCGTTAAAGACGTTAGTGAAGCGTGAACCTTTAAATACCGCTAGTCTTGATGCGGGTTACAAATTGATCTCTGTTGACTGAAAACAGTAACCAGGGCCGCATCTCTTAATCATTTAAAAAGCATAAGAGAAATTTCGCTTCGAGCAACACGAAAAATAAATTCGTCCGCTCGTTCCTATTCTCCTTGCAACCCGATCAGAAGTAGCTACTACTAGAGGACAGTTAGCTTGAATCTAAGATTATTCTTAAATAAAATTTACTCATTGCATTTTCAAGATGGTCTTAGTCGCGAATGAGCTCCGCGAAATGCTCGTATATATGTACGTACGTATGTATGTGTATGTATCTATGTGTGTGCAAAAGAGTCGGTCGCCAACTTTACACAAATATCTCCGACATGCGCAAACTATCATTCAAATTTCAATCACAATCGCTCATGTAGCAACGCTTTTCTCATGCGTTCAAAATAAATCGTATCAGCAAAATTCAATCTCGATTGCTATCTCAATGATATCCCGGTACAATCTGACGAGCCAGAATATAAAGTTGTTAAGTACACACAGCCACAAAGTGGTTGTATATATTAGTCTTGCAGACATCTAATGTTTAACATTCAATGAAAATGTAAATGTTGCTTTGTTATCATTGACGCATTGGTTATATAATCTGTGACCATCATAAAAAAGACGCAATCTTCATGAAAATTACGATATTCATGAGCTGTTCCTTGCTAAATATTACCTCGGTTTAGAGATGTCGAGTCATTCTCCTCGTTATAGACCTCGAATATGTGTAGGTGTTTGCTTTCAACATATGGTACAAGAGATCCGTAATCTTCGTCGCACTTAGTCATAGTAGTTTTAATGTGTGTGTAAACTTATTTTCGCGCGGTAAACGATATATGTATAGTATTAATGTCTGTCGAGTAGCTGTCTCGAAAATATCGATCTATTTTAACGAGCATAAATGTTCTTTTAGATATCATGTATCCATACAATAATAATCAATATCGATATATATATCGGATATTGCATAATTAATGCAATCGTCATTAATGATATGTTGCACATAAATGGATCATACGTAATTCAGATGCGCATGATAATAGTACGATTGTGCCCCCTTCGATAATAAAAATAAAAATCTTTTACCTCTTATTACACATGCTTTGCCCGTTGCGAATATAATGAAAATGAACATATAATAGGAATGAGTATGAATTTTTTGATAACTTACGATATGAATATGCCTGTGTGTACGTGTGAAATGTATATGTGAACTTCCGCACTCTGTTCATTATCGTTCTCTTCGTTTATTTTTGCGAATACGCTCTGCGGATAAACCCTTTTTCGTTCCTTAAGGCATCATTTTGTGGCGAGGTGACAACCACTTCTTCATGTAGTAACAGAAGAACGTAGAGATATAGATGAGCACCAGAAGAGCGCACGTTACACCGAGCGCCAGCACCGAGGTTTTTGTTGGACATGGCTTCATAACGGTCACTGTTTCGTCTGAAAATAAATATTCCATATACAATTAGTATCATGAAAACGCTTCTACTATCGCTTCAATGCGTCCTTCTCTTTTTGATCTTACCTGCTTCATTGAAGTCTATGCTAGCATCGCTCTTTAGGAAATCGGATTGTTTCTCATCGCCAAAGTCGAGCACTAAGATCTCTTGAGACAGAGTCATATCTTCGCCTTTCTCTTCTGTCGAATTTGCAAGACTTCTTCTACGTCTCTTACCCCACGATTCTACAGATTCGCGTCCCCATTCGCAAACAGCCTAAAAATGAGAGAAATCCTTGATAGTTTCTTTTTCTATAATTAAGGGAAGGAATAATAAAATTAATCAATTACCGGTTCGCAAGGTCCCAGACAGTACTTTACATTACATTGGAAAATCACGCCGTAAGATTCGGTGAATCTGAAAGCTTCATATATAGATTGCAGAGAATTACCGTCGGGAGTGAAACTGGGGAAAATGGAAGGATCGACAGGACATCTGAAAATTTAAACATTTGTTTTGTAAGCTTCACACACGAGTATAACCGGAAAAAAATTAAATCAAATCAAATCAACTCACCCTTCGTCGTCGATAATTTGGAATGTGCTTTTCGAATCCTTTGCCATAGCTACGCAACTGCGAGCGAAAATGCCGTATGGAGCTACATATAGAACATTAATATTAATTATTGTCGAATTGTCAAAAATCGATTATATCATTGTTCAAGTATAATTAATACTCCTTTCCTGTTGTGTAAAGAAAAATATATTTTCAAGAGAACACACAAACTTACTGTTTTCCGGGATTTCGATTCTGAACGTCAACTTGTCGCCAATGCGTACAGTTTCAACTTCTCGCGATCGACTGTCGAGGATGCGAATCCTCGGTGGAGGTGCTTCCGGTGCGCTAGTGATACTGATCATTTCCGGATCTCTGATCGGCATCATGCCGAAAGTTATATTCTTCGAGGACATATCGTATGTACATTTGACTTTGTAAATTTTATCAGCCTTTGTCATTACCACGGAGTGATGTTGCAGTACAACCGTGTTTGAATAAATTCCAGTCTGAAAACCGTCACGCTGCCATGGTGAAAAGAAAGTGCGAACAGAGATTAAGTATTCAAAGAGAGAGGGTTGTGCTTTATTTATCATAAACTCTTTATCGACCTTATAAAAATATATATAAAACAAATGTGTAAAAAAAAATGTTTTTTTAAAGTTATGCATAATACAAAAGTGCAGTGCTGGTCAATCAAATAAATGTGATACATTAGTATGAAGATATAATAATGTTAGACACATACAATAAATCGATAAAGTGTTTGTGTAACTTAACAATAGTGCTATTTACTTAATCTATTTCTAGGAACATGCGCATTTCAAAGCATGAATATTAATGAAAAGCAATGTAACTGCAAAACTGTAATTCTTTTAGAATTACAGTTGCAAAATCATAAAATTCAGATATAAGCTTTGATGAAAATTTTGTATATTACAAATTACATGTCGCATCATATAACAAGTACTTCGAAAAATACAAATAGCATTGAATAATTATAGCTATAGTTGAAAATGTACATAAATGCAATTACAATATTTTTCATACTTTAAACTTTAAATCATCCCTAAAACGATTAAGTTCAATGTATTACCATCACCATCTTATATATCACTTACCACGCTCTGAGTATTACAGTCTTGTCCACTCATCGTGAGATCCAATCTAAAGAGATCGCTATTGATAACATCAATATTGCAAGTTTCAGATCGTCCAAGAGCGTAAATACGCCCATTGAAAGGTTTATTCGTACGAACTTGGACAGCGATACGAGTGTCTTTACAGTCGACCGATACTGTAACATATCAATTATTAATAAATTTTATATAGTACTACATATATATATATAGTGCTTTTCGAATCCTTTGCCATAGCTACGCAACTGCGAGCGAAAATGCCGTATGGAGCTACATATAGAACATTAATATTAATTATTGTCGAATTGTCAAAAATCGATTATATCATTGTTCAAGTATAATTAATACTTCTTTCCTGTTGTGTAAAGAAAAATAAATTTTCAAGAGAACACAAACTTACTGTTTTCCGGGATTTCGATTCTGAACGTCAACTTGTCGCCAATGCGTACAGTTTCAACTTCTCGCGATCGACTGTCGAGGATGCGAATCCTCGGTGGAGGTGCTTCCGGTGCGCTAGTGATACTGATCATTTCCGGATCTCTGATCGGCATCATGCCGAAAGTTATATTCTTCGAGGACATATCGTATGTACATTTGACTTTGTAAATTTTATCAGCCTTTGTCATTACCACGGAGTGATGTTGCAGTACAACCGTGTTTGAATAAATTCCAGTCTGAAAACCGTCACGCTGCCATGGTGAAAAGAAAGTGCGAACAGAGATTAAGTATTCAAAGAGAGAGGGTTGTGCTTTATTTATCATAAACTCTTTATCGACCTTATAAAAATATATATAAAACAGATGTGTAAAAAAAAATGTTTTTTTAAAGTTATGCATAATACAAAAGTGCAGTGCTGGTCAATCAAATAAATGTGATACATTAGTATGAAGATATAATAATGTTAGACACATACAATAAATCGATAAAGTGTTTGTGTAACTTAACAATAGTGCTATTTACTTAATCTATTTCTAGGAACATGCGCATTTCAAAGCATGAATATTAATGAAAAGCAATGTAACTGCAAAACTGTAATTCTTTTAGAATTACAGTTGCAAAATCATAAAATTCAGATATAAGCTTTGATGAAAATTTTGTATATTACAAATTACATGTCGCATCATATAACAAGTACTTCGAAAAATACAAATAGCATTGAATAATTATAGCTATAGTTGAAAATGTACATAAATGCAATTACAATATTTTTCATACTTTAAACTTTAAATCATCCCTAAAACGATTAAGTTCAATGTATTACCATCACCATCTTATATATCACTTACCACGCTCTGAGTATTACAGTCTTGTCCACTCATCGTGAGATCCAATCTAAAGAGATCGCTATTGATAACATCAATATTGCAAGTTTCAGATCGTCCAAGAGCGTAAATACGCCCATTGAAAGGTTTATTCGTACGAACTTGGACAGCGATACGAGTGTCTTTACAGTCGACCGATACTGTAACATATCAATTATTAATAAATTTTATATAGTACTACATATGTGTTACGTGTGTGAATATATATATATATATATATATGTATTATTGGAATATTAAAAAAAATATGTACCATCGTAACAAGTGCCGGTCTTATCGCAATTAATATCGTTTCTAGTGAGATTGTTTATCGTAGAATCTTCTGTGGTTTCAAAAACTACCGGCAGCGGATCCGCCAATGGTCCAGTGCCTTCTAAAATGTTTGCAATAACGTATATGTGATTAATATATCATACACGCACACATACACACACAAACTTAAATTATTTTAATCGACTTTTTCGGTTCGCTTACTTTCGCAGAAATTTTCAAAGTAAGTGCCAACTCGTTCTCCATTATCGATCAAAGGCCTCTCTGCATTAAGATAGGTAGAAGGTCCATCCGGAAGAGTCCAATGATCCAGATGGAAGAGATGACAATTATAAGCCGACCCTTGAGGAGCGCCACGATAGAGAAAAGATCTACAAAGGAACTCGTTTTCGATTTCGCAGGCTAATCTGCAAGCGGACTCGCTCTGAACTTGCAATTCCTTGTCGGTGTAATAATGTAGGCCTGCGTATTGTGCAACTTTATCGTCCGCTACGCCGATTCTGGGCATTTGGAAAATCCTTTGATACCTGCAGGCCTCTTTTCCTGTGTGAGTTAATTTTTTTAAATACATTTTCTTTATTCTAGAATTTATATTTTAACAGAATATTTTCCTCAAAAACGCCGCGTTTACCTTTCAAACATAAATTTTCAAAGTAATCCACTCCTTGCGCGTCCACGAATTGAACGTATTGACCTGTCGTTCGACGATCCGAATCGCTCAAATGACACTGAAGCGTCACGTAATTATATTCTACGGAACGACATGTGAAGCGATGCTCGTTTAAGCAAGCTGCGAGACAAGCTTCTTTCGTGGATGTGTAAATTAATGCGTTGTCCAATCCCCGAATCATTTTATTTGGAATGCGTTCGAAGGCCCACGGTCGCAAACAAACGTTTTCTAAAATAACATATAATAAAATTAGATAATTTTATTTCTCTATTTCTCAATATTTTATATATATAATAATTGAAGATTTTAGTACTGTGCTTGCACATTTGTAAGTGTATATATGCTAATAGTTGATTTCCTATATATTTTATGAGTCGCTGGTTAATAACATTCAACAATATCAATGGCTAATTTTTTTTCTTTCATTCTCTCTCTCTTGCAAAGATAAAAAAAACCGGAAAAACATGACAAGATTCAAATCAATTTATCGTTAGTTTCCGGAATTGTTGTTCGGCATCAGATAAAAGACTGAATCATCAACCGGAGATAAAGTCGTTAAACAGTTTTTAACAACTTGGTGTTTGTCTCCCTCTCCGTCGAAGAGTGATAAGATACTTTGCGAAGCTTATCGACACTTCCGGATTATGCCGCAACGAAATTGTCGAGTCGTACGAGAGATCTTTCGTGCTGAAACATCATAAGACGTTGGCATGTGACTTGGCATCGACGTTGATGTCGACGGTGACGCACGTAGCCGCGCTTTTTTGGCACACGACTACGGAATATATTTCGGCCGAGCCCGTTCGTTGAGCGTTCCAATTTCTTTTGTTCCGCCCTCGAAACCGGCGCTAAAGTCGCAACCGACGACGAAAGTCGGTGCCAACGAACCGCTGCGTGACTCCTTCATGCATGAATCACCGCCAACCGTGCGAATTCCTGGCGATCGCTCGTCCTGAACGAAGGTATCGCTAGGATAATAAAGTGATAATTATTTTTCGACCAACAATGCGAAATTTAACGGATCCTCTGTAATCGTGTATTTTTTTGGCACCATATATCCACAATCAAGTATTTCAATGCGATTCACAACGAACGGTGAATGACACACACAGACATATATAAAATATCCAATTATAATTTGATATTTTTCTTTTCGTAATATTTTATGATTTCGAAAAACAAGCGATTTCATCAAAATAATTTTTGTGGAGGCGTAATATCAAAATCATTTATGTATATTTTTTTAATAGGATCGTATTATTTCTTTCATATAAAAGTTTCGATTTATGCTGCATTTGAAACGGTGTCTTTGATATCAGATGTAAAATGTATTTATGAAATATACGGTTGATTAACTTTACAATCACTAAAGTAAGATTCTGCGCAGTTTGTAACTAGTTGAACCATAACGATCATGTTAGAACAAGTCTGTCCTTCTTCGAAATTTTTAATTCTTCTCTTCATAAGTCGACATAACTGGAAATGTGTAGAAACAAATATTTCTGCGAATATCCTCTGGGACAAGTGATTTAAGGGAGGGAACTAAGCGCTTCACGATTCGAAACAACAATAAAATCGCCTTACTCGTCACATAGACAACATGATTTGTTGAAGCGCATTAATCCTGTCTCGGAAATTTCGACTCTATAAAGGATTTATAGAGATGTGCAAAGATGCTTAATAAAATTTGGCATTGTCAACTTTTGAAATATCGAAAATTTATGTAGATTTATATAATTTATTTGCCAATTTAATTATAATAAAGATTTATAGAAAGATGCTTAATAAAATTTGGCATTGTCAACTTTTGAAATATCGAAAATTTATGTAGATTTATATAATTTATTTGCCAATTTGCCAATTTA